TCAGTGAGCTGATTAATTCGCTTATTTAAATTTTTAATTTTAAAAAAAATGAGTTGTGATATAATTTTATTTAAAAAAAAATTATTATAATAAAAAGTTAAATTTAATTATTTTTAAAATTTTTTTATTGTAATAAAATTTAAATTAATAAAATAAAAAAACCTAAATAATGGAAAAGATCTTGAACACTAGAGTTTTTGGAGGGTGAAGTCTCTAATGTCTTTTTCTCTTTTTCCCTCCCATTTCAGATGGTTGTTGCCAACTTGCAATAGTGAACTGAAGGGGCATTCCTTTGGGCTATGGGCTTGGGATATTGACCCAATTCACTGCCTTTAATAGCAATCTTTACGGCTTAACTTTGTTAATCAAAGCCCAAATGAATCGAGCCCAAGATTTTGACAATATTTTACTTGAGATTTGAGGAGCTGTCATCAATCATGATTTTGCTGTGTTCGTGCGCTCATGTTCTAATAGATCACACAGAAAAGTTGATAATTGTGCTTACATTTACAATAATAAATAATTACTAAAAGAAGACATTTTTTTTTCCTACGGAGCAGCATATTAGTAGAGAAATATATGAAATTGTCAAAAATGCTGAAGTCAGCCCTGATGTAGAAGCACAAAACAAGGAAACAAGTGACATATGAGAAGAGCAAATTTTCTATCGAATAGAAAAACACCTCTTCTCCTGGTCTATGCACGTGTGCAATATCAAGACAAAAGAAACAACCGAAAAAATGTGGGCTTCAAGTCTATAAGCAAGTTTCGGAGCAGATTCTAATAGATATAAGGCGGAGAATTCTCTTTGTTTTGTTTCAAGGAAACAAAATAATAATAATAATAATAATAATAATAATAATAATCTACGGTTTTCTAATTCTAAAACAGTATACTTTTGTCAGGGTTATAAGGATACAGAACAGTATACTTGACCAATTTTAAAAGATATGCAAAAGATAAAACCACCACAAAATGAATTATTTTGACGTTTTAGGTCCCGTTCACTTCGCTGATTCGAGTTTAGAATTCAAATTGAGATGTGATTTTATATGAGAACTTTTTACTATAGTAAAAAAGTTAGATGTGATTGTTTGTGAGAGCTTTTTACTGTAGAAAAACTTGAATTCTAAACTCAAATCAGCGAAGTGAACGGGCTCTTATTTAACGCGTACTACTATGATTCACGTGAATATGAGACGGAGCACTTTCACTATCGCACCAGAAGAAGTTTCTAGCAATTCAAATTTTTTCCATACACACGAACACATAAAATTGACCCTTTTTTTTGTCCTACATTTCTTTTTCTTTTCTCAGAATATCAATTACATCTTACCTTACGTTATCGCTGCTTTCATCACAAATAAAACAGAGATATACAGACCGCCTAAAAATCCCTTCTAGATTCATAAGTTTCTTGCCATGACTAAGAGATTACATTAGACTATTCATTTTTGTCTGCTAACCAAGTAATTTACACGCAAATAGCACACCAAGAGGCTGTTTTCTTTGACATTTTTTTTGCCTCCATGTATGTTATTTGGTCCTCCACAGACTGCACGCAAATTATTCTATATATATTTTAATCTGTTTGTTTATTCTAGTAGATTTTCTGAATCATATCTAAACTAAAATATAATATAGTTTTTAGTAAGATATTAGAGGTTCCTTTTCTCCAATATCTTATTTGTATTGGTTTCTCGAACACTTCGTTACTAGAATTATTAATTGCGCGAGATGAGCTTAACTTCTAGATATAGATGAGCAATGTTTAATACTATTGTCTTTTTTCAAATAAAATAACGTTAAGGACACCAACTCAAATTTTAATTTTTATATACTAACTGATGTAGTAAGTGAGTTGTCATTTTTTTAATGGTAGATGTAATTTTTTTATTAATTGACGTGACAATATTTTAAACACCCATTAATACAAAATTAACAACTCACGTGTCGCATTAATTGATATATAAAAATTAAAATTTGAGTTGGTGTCTCTGACATTATTCTTTCAAAATTTTTTTTTTTTAATTCCGCTTTTCACTGACGACAAAGCTAAAGTTAAATTTCTAACTTCTTAAAACCACTGTGAAAGGTGATTTAATTATGCGCTAATCACTCTGAGTTTTTATTATACAGTATTGCTTCCAAGAGTTCCCTTAAAAATGGTAAATTATGAAATTATCGGACTAAAATCAGGTTTACTAAAACGTTAGTTGTTTGCTAAAGCTGTAATTCTCTGATGATCACTTCTTAAAATTGCAAAAATATTTTCAAATTTGCCCATAAAAATGTATTAATATGAGCATTAATTAATAGAGAAATGAGGCAATGATGCTGCAAGCCCTGAAAACTCAAACTGTGAAATGTTGGTAATTAACTGGAGTAATCGGTAATTATTTTGGACTGTACTTTTATTTTCTTTATTTTTCCCTTTAGGTAAGGTGAAAGCAAAAACATGCAACCACCGATGGGGCTCCATGCTCGAAAAAGACACCATGATGTTTGCTGCCTTTGCCTTTGTAGGTTTAAAAAAATAATAAAAAAAGAAAATTACAGTAGAAAAAGTGGTGAAAGTAAATCATTGCAAACCATTGTAATTGCTCATGTGGCCCCAAGATATTGAGCTAGCTGTCCATTTCTCTTTTATGAAAGAACACAAAGATCTCACTTCTCAGCTTATAAGGTCAAGTCTTATAAGTCGTAATTGGATAATTTTGAGAAATTTTTATAGTAGAATCTAAAGAAATGAATTACCAATAAGTTTATATTTTTTAATCGTTAAATTTATATTAAAAATTATTTATTATGTGTACTTTATTATTTTACATTCAATTGTAAAAAATATGCGCTGCCACTAAAAGAGACAATAAGAACCCTAATTTTTGTAGTATAAATGTGTAAAAACGGTATTAGTTCTTATTTAATGTGTCGGAATAAGAAAGCTATTATAAATTAAAGAAAGTTTGTTTTCATTCTCTAATCTTATTATTTTGATAAACCAACTAGAGATTGACTGTTGTTCGTTGCTATCACATGGTTAGATTAGTTAGAATTCCTCATTGATGAAACTGAGATTAAGCTGGCTTTTCCAATTACAAGTTAAAAGCTAATTTTGTCTTGAAAATGAAGGAATAATGATTTTCCAAAGATTGGGTTTTCTTAGCAACCACGGAAACCCAATTGAGAGGACGTATCATCATATTGGACTGGGAGGATCTTTTTTTGTGAATCTATTATGATGTCGTTGTTAAAGACAAAGACTAAATCATTGAAGAGAAACGGTACTACGGCTCCTTTATATTGTTTTCATTTATAAGAAACCATGTGGTAGGATATAAAGACACTTGTAAATTAAATATAATTCTCAATCTTAAATTTTTTATTATTATATTAATATTTTTTTATTTATTTTAATGTGACACTACCGTAAGAGATTTTTTATATCCTATCATAGAGCTCTTTTTAAAATACTTGCATATATATATATATATATATATATACACACACACATAGAAAATATATAAAATGAAAAAAATAACTAAAAATCACCATCACTTTTGAAATGAAGAAAGAAGCAAAGTTAATGGAGGTCTAGACAGGTGGTTCATAAAATAAGAGAAAGCGTGTAAAGCCTAACAATATTAAACACGACTTTTTCTGGATAATTAATAAATCAAAAGCCTAAAATAGAGGAAATTGCCTGAATCAGACAATATAATTACAGAGCACCAAACAATTTATATGAGCAAAGTTTTTTTCTTTTAAATTCCGCTCATTTTATAGATTTGAGTTTAAAATTTAAATTTAATTATAATAAAAAAATTTTAAAAATAATTATATTTAATTTTTTTATTATAATAAAAAATTATCATATAAAATTACATTTTAATTCAAATTAAAAATTTAAATTAATAAATTAAACGGGCTTAATACATGCTTCATGGGTTTCGAAAAGACATAAAACACTAGAAAATGCAAGTCATGTAACATTATTAGCTCCAACTTTATATTTGCAAGATATTATATAATACAGCATGTCCAAAAAGTCAAAAATTTTGAATAAATGAAAAAAATAAAATAAAGCGCTAGAAGGTCATCAGCAGAGTCTTTGCGGTCCACATAAATCACAAAAAGATTTTTACCTCAAAAGACAACCGGAAAAAAAAAAACAAAGAAAGAAAGAAAAAAAAAAAGGAAAGAAAAAGAGAGAAAAATTAGGAAGATATGAGGGGCCCACACAATGCAGCTCCATCTAGAACTACTTGACTTTTAAGGAGATATGAATGAACCCCTCCCATTAATATAGCCTATTCATCAAGAGATATGCCAAAACAACCCATGTTTTCATTTTCATTTTTTTTTTTAAAGAAAAGAAAACTCAAAAGGGTCGGTGAAGATATTGCCTAAGGCAACCACCTCTGTTCTTGATCCTCCACACCATCTCAAAACTCTTCTCCCACCTCAAAATTTTCCCGGAAAAGAACAAGCAAACAAACAACCAAAAATCACGAATAATGCTCGATCCTGGCTCAGAAACACCACAACAACAAGAACACCCTTTTCTTTTCCATTACGAGGCCGGTAATACCAGACCGAGAAGTGATGAACGACATGAGAGTACGAATTGGACAAGAGCTCAAAAAACAGCCCAAAACTACCACAACAACAACAGCGACAATGATCAGAACTACTACTATAGCAACAGCGACAACAACAACTCCTCGGGAGTTTCCTCTCCACCACTCTGGAGAACAATATCAAGATCACAACAGCAGCAACCACAGGTCAATTACCGGAGCCTGTCGCCGGCGTCGAAGGCACAAGCGATCGCGAGAGGACAACGGGAGCTCATGGATATGGTGAGGAACATGCCCGAGTCGTGCTACGAGCTGTCGTTGAAAGATCTCGTCGAAGTACACAATCCCTTACCTGCAGAAACCAATAATAATAATAATAACAGAAGTGATTTGTACTCGGATCATCAGTACTTAGAGAGGAGATCGGATAGTCAGAAGAGGACTGGTGACAGTACTCATCCGATGATGATGAGTCGGAGAAGGAGCGGGAGATCACAAGGGGAGGAAAAGGGGTCGTCGTTGTCCTCGGGTTTCCTTCTGAAGATGGTGTTTCCGGTGTCGCTTGGGTCGAAGAAGAAGTCGTCGTCGTCAACGAAGAAGAAAGTGGCGGTGGTCAAGAATAAGACCGACCAAGTTAATAACAACAATAATAATAATAATAATAATATGAGTTCCAAGGTGTCTCCAAAGCCTAATTCTGATAGTATTGGAGGATCAAATAGAAGTAATAGTGTGGATAAGGAGTGGTGGAAGAAGAGATATACGGTGATGTCAGAAGAACAACAACGACAACAACAGAGTGGTGGTAGTGATCATCAGTACTACTCGAGTAGTACTGGTAATAGTGGAAGCAGCAAGAGCAGTTCTGGCAGCAGAAGCAGCAGTCTTGGCAGCACCAGAAGCACCGGCAGCATCAGGTAATTAATATTATTCTTCTTCATCTTTCAATTTTCTTTAAATTTTCTCTCTTTTTTTTCTGATTTCGTCATGATTCTAGTGTAGTTTAACGATTTAAAACTGTAATGTAAAGATCTGTGCTGTAATCTGTTGGGGTAATTAAGGTTTGAAGTTCATGTTGTTGCCCATTAGATCCAAGGTTTCCTGTTGCTTTAATTTGCGAATTTAACAACATATTTTATAGGATGTTTGTTAGGGGGTCTTTGAGATAGAAAACAGGGGAAATCTTGTCTTATAGATTACACACGAGACACTTCCTAGTTCTATTATAATACCAAACAACAATATGAAACAGAAATCCTCTGTTGTTTAGGAGCTAAAATATCAGGTGTATGAAGATGAAACTCTGTTAATAGGGACAGAGAATAGTGGAAAGAGAAAGCAAGAAAATTGTGAGCTGTAAAATTGGTCAAAAGTGGCACGTATGAGGCACAAAAAAGTATACAAATTGATACAGCATGTGAAATCTCGTGACACGGTCGGTAAACTTTCAAAGTCTATTAGCTTTGTTTGTCTTATACAAAAGCAACATAAATGTCTTTGGGACATTGTGGAATTATTAGAAATTACTTGGGAGTTTACACTAGACTTTAATTAGAGCCAAAGTCAAGTAATTCTAGGTAATAATTAGTAAATAACCTCAAACTTAATCAGAAACACGTGTATTGTTTGTATTATTTTTCCAAGTTCTAATAATTACTTAATTTTTGGATTTAATGTAAACGCAGGCAAGGAAGTGGTCGGGTTCGTGGTGGTTGCTGGTCGTTTATTTTTAGAAAAAAGAAAAGCAAAGGGGAAGAATGATTGAGGTAGAGCTGCTTTCATTGAAGTTGAAGGATGTTATATCAATTGGTTATCACACCCCTTTTTAACAATGCTTGCTTTATATATTATTTTATAGTAAAATATTGCAGCAAAATTGTACTATTTCTGGTGTATATTCTCAGCAAGCAGTTTTCCCACCAAGGAGAAAAAACAATGTGCTTTTTTTTTTCCTTCCTTCTCCTTTTCAATTCATATCCCAAAGAGTCTACTCTTCATTTGTTGAGAGATATGATTTAAATTTCTGAGTCTTGCTTTAAGTGTCTGTAATTAGTGAGTTTTAATAGTGTTAATTAGGAACAAGTACCACAATTAATGAAGAAGCTGACGCGGATCAGTCGATGTGCTTGAAAACGTAATTGTTGAAATTGTGAGGCTATATTGCAATTACAATAATAAACGGTGAAAGGTCAAGTAGGAGATACTGAGATTTCATGAGTTTGATTAAAATGGTGGTCCTCAAAACTTAAATTGTCGCTTCACCAAACGGCAAACACACCGTGGGGACAATATTAGTAAATCTCATAATCATAATTCAAAATGATGATGGCCTTTTGATGGTGAAAGTTTGTTTTTTGAGTTGTGGAACTTCTGGTTCTGAATTAATCTCAAACTTTGTGGTACAAAAAACTGGCTTAGTGGTCAGTCCAATATATCGTTAAATGTTAATTTGATAATATGATCATGTTCACTTTTTCTCTGTTTCTCGAGAGAATTTTCCAACATTGTTTTCTTCTTGTAAAGAAAAAAAAAATTATATATATATATGGGAAACAATATTCTCTATGGACTTTGAGCCCACTGGTAGAAGGGAAATATTTGAAAACAAAAATCTGAAACATGTTTTAAAATGGGGAATCAGAATAAAAAATTAAAATAAAAAGAATTACGTGCAAAAAAAAAAAAAAGAGATAAAATTTTTTAATTCCATTTTAAGAGAATAGGCTAGTCCCATTCTCATATAAGCTTGAGTAACTTTTGGATTGAAACATGAGAACATGTACAAGCTTCAAAAAACTCTATGCCTCAGTACATTGGGTATGAAATGGTCCTTGGTGCAGTCGGAAATATAGCCTGTCGTTCAATGATTTCTTTTTTTTTTTTTGGGTCCCTTTTATCGATTGTAGTAATGTTTTCTGAAAATATTGTGGTTTTTGTATCTGGTGTCGTTTCTCGAGTTTGCATATTTCTGTTTTTCTTTTTTGAGGAGTGTACTGATTTGTTGCTGGTTTCTGATATAGCAGTCCTTTTATGATTTCGCTGTCCTTTATGAGATTCTTTTCTTCATCGGGATATTATCACCGTTTGAGTTTCCGAGTTAACGTCGACTTATGTTTATTCTGTTCTTTTTCCCCCTTACGTTGATATATAATAACGTTGTTTTTTAAGTTGGTTCCTCTTTTAGTTATCTTTTATCAATCCTAAACGGATGTCGTTTTCTTATATTGATGCACCATACACAATCTGCGTCGTTTCCGTTCAATGTCGTTTTTATTTTTCTGTCATTGTTGTCGTTTTCCCAATTTACGTGGTATCGTCGTTTTTGCCGTTTTTCACTTTTTCTACCCTTGTTATGTTTATACTTAATAGGCGGAGTCAGTCAGCCAGTGCAAATGACGGTTGAAAGTAATCTTTGACAAAAGACATAACGACGACAATAAGTCGATCGAATTCGAAATCAACAAAATATACAAAAATGACACCAATTTGATAAACGATAACAATCTAAATGAACGACATCAGCAAGATGTACATCAGTAACCTATAAAATGAGACGTGAGAAAGGAATAGCATGTGCTGCAATAATATAAATAATATAAATGATGGACATATTCAACATGAGCATCAATAACCTCGAACAATAAAATAGCAACAACCTTTCTACTAGAAATTACAAAAAAAAAAAAAAAAAAAAAAAAGGGACAATAATATGAGAAACGACAATAACCTCAATAAAACAATATCATCAATAAGGATTGCGTAAGAGAATAAGGTAAAACATCAAAAGATAAGAGATGACAGAAATAACGTAAGCGTGATAATAAAAACAGAGACAAAATCAGCATGAATGGCAAATCTTAAAGACGACATGATAAACATCACGAACTCGAGCGAGAACCAACAGAAAACGATACAAATGGAAGAAACGACAATTAACCGAAATAATATATCTAAAATATCATAAGTATGAGATAGGGCCAAAAAAAAAAAAGAAAAACGACACCAATGGAAACGACTATAGTAACATATACGTTACTCGAATTAAGAACCGGTAAAACTAACAAACAACGTTATTTTGAAGAAACGACATTTACATGTAAGTAGCAATTAAAGAACTTGAGGAGACGATATTCGAGATATGAATGACCTTTGTTTTCTTGCATGCATACATGCATAAATGAATGCTGATACACCTCTTCCGCTTAAGAAGAGACG